TACATCAAATAAGTGTTTTAAACACTTGGTTTTTATTTTGGAGAACTTTGGATTTTTCGGTCGGTTTTTGCATCGGTTGGCTAGGCCGTGGTTAAGGCAAAAACCATAGGTTTTTGGCTAACCACCCACCCAGCGATGGGAAGAACATCCCATCGATGGGTAAGCGGCCCCTTAGCCAAACCAACTTCCAGAACCATGCCAAACAGCGATGGGAGGTTCTACCCATCGCTGTTAAAGCCTTGGTCCAACATTATCACAAGGCAGAATGACCTTACCCAGCGATGGGAAGCTTTACCCATCGATGGGAACCCAGCGATGGGAAGGCTTAACCATCGATGGGAAGGCATGACCGTTGTATGTCATTTAAGGTTGATTCTTTCCTTGTTTGGAAGTCAACCTCCCACCCAGCGATGGGAAGCATGTACCCATCGATGGGTAGGTGACCGTTGGCTTCAAAACTGAAGGAAAATTGGCCTACCAGCGATGGGTAAGGTCCATACATCGTTGGGAAGCCAATATTCTGCAGATCCCAAATCTTTTCAATCCCATAAATCAAGCTAATCACCCCTTTAATGCATTGGTCCGTTGGAGCCTATTTTGGCACTATAAAAAAGGGTGTTTGGGTCTGCTTTTCTCATCAATTCAACTTCACAACATTCATACTTTCATTGCATTCAAATATCATCATTTTCCATAGCTTTCTAGAGCCATTTTTGTGTGGAGGTTGAGTTGTTCTTGAGCGTACTTAGTTTACTCATAATCTACTCTATAAGAGAGCCTCGTTCTTGAGTGTATTCGTGTTCTTAGACACTTTGAGAGAAAGTATTTCTCTCGGTAGATTCAAAGGAAGGGTTGTTTCCTTTGAAGGACTCGTTAAGGTTCATGTAACTCGAACTCTCATGTTGTAACGGTTTGTTAAGCACCCGCAAGCTTAACGAGATAGTAGTGTAGCTCGAGAGAGTCTCTCGGGAGGCTGGATTAGCCACAAGTTGTGGTGAACCAGGGTAAAATTCGGTGTGCCTCTTACTCTTCTCTTTACTTCTCTTTTAAGTTTTTAATCCCTGCGATTTCTACGATCAAACGCTATTCACCCCCGCTCTAGCGTTGGTCTTTTATTCTAACAACCACAAACCGCTTGTATAATTCTGGCAACGATTGCAGAATCAGATTAGTTGCAAGTTCAGTCCTTAGTTCGAAACCCAATTTCTCAAGAGTTTGGACGTAGCCAATCATCTTGAGAACATGCGGACCAACGGGGTTTCCAACTGACAACTTGCAACTAAAGAGAGCTTTGGAGATTTGGAATCTCTCATGCCTAGCTTGTCCTTGGTAGAGCTGTCTTAGGTGTATGATCATATCGTACGCCTTCATACTCTCGTGATGTTTCTGAAGGTCAGAAGTCATCGTAGCCAACATGAGACATGCCACCTCATTGTCATCATTAACATGCTTCTCATAAGTATCCTTGATAGCTCTAGAAGCATTGGTGGCCGGGACAGGTGGGATGGCTCGTTCGAGCATGTATCCTTTCTTCTCGAGTCGAAGAACGATAACGAGGTTTCTTTGCCAGTCTAAGAAGTTAGAGCCGGTCAACTTATCTTTGTCGAGGATTGAGCGAAGAGTGAGGTTATGGTTGTTATTAGACATCTACATATAATTTGCAAGATAGTTAATATCAAGAATCTAAGTAATTAGCTAGGTCTTTAACTAATAACTCTCCCACTATTTTAACAAATCAACTACCCTCAAGTACGTAGCCTGCTGAATCGAGATTTCTCCTAAAGAGATATCTTAGTGGGCCAAGGTCCATATTACATTTAACTATAGTTGTGCTTTGCATCTTGACCTATTGTTAAACTAATTAGGTAGGAACTTATTTCCAATTGTGATCCAATTACAATCCTTGGTTTGTTAGGTTGTTCTAAATAAAATCTTATATTGGGCCTAGATCCTTATTTCATCTAACTATAGGTTTGCTTTGCATCTTGCCCTATAGTTAAACTATTTCAGGTAGAAACTATTTCCAATTGTAACATTTTACAACTCTAGGTTAGATAAATTTGATTTTATTTATTAACCTAACCATGTGCCTCTAAGTTATTCATCTTTTTACCTTAACTTAGTTAAGTTCAACCCAGGGCGTACTCAGTATCCATTGTTACGAATTTCACGTCATACCAATGTAAACCAGGCGTCCCGCTTTGGCGTGTCCGTTGACTGGTCGAAACTGGTATCGACAAGTGAGTCGATGTCGGAAGGCACAAACTTAATATTACGAGGGATTTTAAATGTGATTTCACCTATGGCATGTGTCGCGCACATACACTAGCGAATATCATACAAACATATATACAAACATGTATAATGAATAAAACGTGACATGATTGTGGCCTCCTAAAGAACTAACGATAAAGCCTTCACTTGAGATCTCTATCTCCAGCTTCACCTTCTTTCTTTAAGAATGCTTTAGTCTTCAAGTTCAGCCCTTACTTGTTAGTGTCCTCTTCTTCTTGGCTCCATCATCTTCCTTGCTTTTTCATGGACTTCTTTGTTTAATCGAGAGAAAAGAATCCTTGCTTTGTAAGCAAGGGGTATGAGGTTTAAGAAAAGATTTACAACCAGAATTCAGAGATGAGGCACGACACGCAGGACGTTTTTAAAAACCAATGATTCTAATCCACAACCACGCACCATGCATACATTCATACATCACATCCAGAAAAACCATACACCGGCAAACCGCGCTCGCCCGAGACCTAGTTTATTCTAAGAAAAATAAACTACAAACCTAAAAATTATCAAATAATTTTATTTAACTTTATTTTAAAACTCCAGAATATCCAAAATTTAATTTTGAATTTCCTAAATTTTAAAATAGTTAATTGCCAGAAAATATAGGTATTAATTTCGAAGTTGGGATTTTAATTCAAAATAAATACTTATACCTTTTGAAAATTAATAAATAAATTCTAGAATGTGTATTCTGATTTTTTACGTCTGAAAATAAAATTTCCAGAATTTATAAAATTTATTTTCGAAATTCTTTATTCAAATACCCAAAATCGGACTTCTATTTTCCAAAAATTAATTTCGAGTTTCCAAAAATTAATATTTTCCAAAAATATTTACTTTGGGTCCGTATTGTTCTGAAAATCAAATTTCCAGAATTAAATAAATTTTATTTTCGATATTTTGTACTTTGTTTCCAAAAGGAGTTAAATTAATTTCCAAAATTAATTTAGAATATTCCAAATATTCCAAAAATCAATATTTTCCAAAAAAAAGTTTTTGACTCATGTACAATCTGAAAACAAAATTTTCCAGATTTTGCAGTGTTAGAATAAGTACCCTTCACTAGGGAATGTTTATAAATTTTCGCGGAATAAAAATTCCAGGGATAAAATAAAAAAGCGGAATAAAAAGGAGTAAAGGGAGCACACCAAGATTTATACTGGTTCACCACAACGTGTGGCTAGTCCAGTCTCCCGAGAGACTCTCTCGAGCTACACTACTTCCGTTAAGCTTACGGGTGCTTAACAAACCGTTACAACCTGAGAACTCGAGTCCCACGAGCCTCAATACACTTGCTCGGAGATACCGCACTCCAAGACTTCAACCTGAAAGAAAATAGCTTTCCTTCGTACAACCAAGGGAAACAAGCTTCCCTAAACGTGTNCCTTCACTAGGGAATGTTTATAAATTTTCGCGGAATAAAAATTCCAGGGATAAAATAAAAAAGCGGAATAAAAAGGAGTAAAGGGAGCACACCAAGATTTATACTGGTTCACCACAACGTGTGGCTAGTCCAGTCTCCCGAGAGACTCTCTCGAGCTACACTACTTCCGTTAAGCTTACGGGTGCTTAACAAACCGTTACAACCTGAGAACTCGAGTCCCACGAGCCTCAATACACTTGCTCGGAGATACCGCACTCCAAGACTTCAACCTGAAAGAAAATAGCTTTCCTTCGTACAACCAAGGGAAACAAGCTTCCCTAAACGTGTTTACAACATTAAGAACACTCAAGAACAAGACTCTCTTTAAGAGTAGTTGTTGAGTAAACTATATACGCTCAAGAACAACTCAAACTTCACAAATTCGCTCTAGAAAGCTATGGAAAATAATGTTGTTTGGATGCAATGATGATATGTGTAATGTGAAGTGAATTGGTGTGTAAAGCAGACCCAAACACCCCTTTTTATAGTGCCAAAGTAGGCTCTAACGGATCAGAACATTTATGGAGTGATTAGCATGAAATTAGCTTACCCTGCGATGTATGGAACTTCCCATCGCAGGTAGGCCATTTTTCCTTCAGTTTTAAAGACAACGGTCACCTACCCATGGATGGGTAAGACCTTCCCATCGCTGGGAAAGAGGTTGACTTTCAAAAAAGGAGAGAATCAGGCTTAAATGCCTTACAACGGTCATGTCTTCCCATGGATGGGTAATATCCTCCCATCGCTGGGAAGTCACTTACCCATGGATGGGTAATATCTCTCATCACTGGGTGGCATGGTTCTGGAATCCGGAATTACATACCCATCGATGGGTAATATCTCCCATCGCTGGGTGGAATGGTTCTGGATTCCCGGGATCACTTACCCATGGATAGGTGATATCTACCATCGCTGGGTAGATGGCTAGTCCAAAACCATGGCCTAGCCAACCGACGCTAAAACCCGATCGAAAAATGCGAAGTTCTCCAAAATAAATACCAAGTGTTGGAAACTTTTATATCATGTATTTTATGTAGAAAAAAAGTATAAAAACTTAAAAACCACTTCATTAAGGTAAAAACCACGGCTAGCCAAGTTTATGCCGTTTCACATGGTTTCACAAAAAGACCAAAAACGAAAGGTGGTTTTTAACATGTTTTTTTGGAGAACTATTTGGATATGAACAGAAGTAAAAACCAATCATAAAATATTAAAAACCACTTGATTGATTTAGACGCCAAAAACCAACGCCGATAACCAGCGCTGAATGCCGATAACCAACGCCAAAAAAACAAAGGTTATGGTTTTTGAAAACTAATGATTTGGAAAACCTTTAAATGTGTCCAGAAGCAAAAACCAAAGATAAAAACCCAAAAACCATTTGTTTAAAATTAATGCCAATAACCAATGCCGAAAACCAAACGCCATAGACGAACGCCGATAACCGATGGTTATGGTTTTGGTTGGACAAGAACCAAGGGTTTTAATGTGTTACAAATGGACTCATATATGGCATCGGCTTTTTAACGCCATTTCGGTGTTAGGCTCCAAAAGATTTTTCGAACAAGATCTTTGTTCGAGTATGTTTTACCAAGGACATGGACATCACTTATGATCTTTAAAAATCGGTTGAACATTTGATCAACACTTTCAATTTCCTTCATTTTAAACAACTCATATTCATGGGTTAGAAAATCAATTTTAGCTTCACGGACTTGAGGCGTACCTTCGTATGTCACTTCAAGCTTATCCCACATTTCTTTTGCGGTGGAGCAAGAAGAAATTTTCCGGTAGTCATCCGGGTTAATTTCACAAAAAATTATGTGTTTAGCTTTTTCAAAAGCTTCTACCTTCTTGATGTCTTCAGCATCATATTCTTCCTCCTTCTTTGGGATGGTGATTTCACCAACCTTTTTCATTGGCATCGTCTCACCGTTTTTGATGATTAACCATAGTTGGAAGTTGATTGACCGAATATAAATCCTCATTCGTTCCTTCCAATAGGTGTAGTTTGTTCTATCGAAGAGTGGAGGTCTAACGGTGGAGTGTCCTTCGCTTAATCCTGCATACGACATTCTCAACAAGAAAATATAGATTGTTCTCTCAACCGATTAAGGCTTGTAGAGAGTTAGGCTCCGATACCAATTGTTAGAATAAGTGCCCTTCACTAGAGGGGGGGGTGAATAGTGAGGGACGAGAATGTTTATAAATTTTTGCGGAATAAAAATCGCAGGGATAAAGTAAAGAGCGGAATAAAAAGGAGTAAAGGGAGCACACCAAGATTTATACTGGTTCACCAAAACGTGTGGCTAGTCCAGTCTCCCGAGAGACTCTCTCGAGCTACACTACTTTCGTTAAGCTTACGGGTGCTTAACAAACCATTACAACCTGAGAACTCGAGTCCCACGAGCCTCAATACACTTGCTCGGAGATACCAAATTCCTAGACTTCAACCCGAAGGAAAATACCTTTCCTTCGTACAACCAAGGGAAACAAGCTTCCCTAAACGTGTTTACAACACTAAGAACACTCAAGAACAAGACTCTCTTTAAGAGTAGATGTTGAGTAAACTATATACGCTCAAGAACAACTCAAACTTCACAAATTGGCTCTAGAAAGCTATGGAAAATAATGTTGTTTGGATGCAATGATGATATGTGTAATGTGAAGTGAATTGGTGTGTAAAGCAGACCCAAACACCCCTTTTTATAGTGCCAAA